GAAGTTACGAGTTTTGGTAATGCATATCGGGAGCTTGATGAGTATGAATATAGGAAATGGGAAGAGGAGTTTTTGGAGGCCCAAAACTTCTGTAGATGCTAATCGAGATACATCAGTGGATGCACTTGCCAATAAGATTGAAAAGGACTTGGTTCTTCTTGGTGCTACAGCTGTTGAGGACAAACTACAAAAGGGGGTCAGTATTAAATGCATAAGATGTTTTATGTGCTTCTGGAAAGTAGCTATTATTTGCTGGAAGAAGTTCAGGTCTTCAGACCTCTCCTTAGCCTAACCCTACCTTGTACTAATGTGTGGTTTTTGTTGCTTTCTTTGATATTTGCCAAATGTTGGAAAAATGTCTGTGGTGCTAATCCGATATAAAGAATTTAAATATTTTTTGTAAGAACAAAAAGGAGAGTATATTTGATAGAAAATGCTGTTTTGGGGGCCTTGTTTATGGTTTGAATTGCCACTTCACAGGTTCCAGAGTGTATTGACAAGCTTGCGAAGGCTGGGATAAGAATATGGGTCCTAACTGGTGATAAAGTAGAAACTGGAATAAATATTGGGTATGGTAAAAATTGTGACTAAATTCCTTCACTTTTCTTTTCTCCTTTGTAGTTTTTCTAACTGTAGTTTCACCTACAGGTATGCATGCAGTCTATTAAGACAAGACATGAAACAGATCCTGATCACCCTAGATTTACCACATATTGAAGCCTTGGAGAAACAAAGAGATAAGGAGGCCATAGTGAAGGTTTACAATTCTAAATTTGACATTTTAATACTTCTTTCCTTTAAAGGAGGTTCTAAAATCATTTCTATATCAGGCTTCTCTTGGAAGTGTGAAAAAGCAGATAATGGATGGAAAATCCCAAGTTAACACAGAAGGGGGTCCAATCCAATTTGGTTTGATTATTGATGGCAAGTCCTTGGATTTTGCTTTGGGCAAGGAGCTAGATAAAGAGTTTTTGGAGCTTGCACTCAGTTGTTCGTCTGTTATATGTTGCCGCACTTCACCCAAACAGAAAGCACTTGTAAGTGTTATTTCTGGTGTTGGACTCTTCTGGTTGTAGTGAAGTTAGTTTATCCTTTTATACTTAACACCAAAATGATCTAATAAAATTGTAGAGGGCATGCAGGTTACAAGAATGGTGAAATCGAGAAAAGCTACAACACTAGCAATTGGTGATGGGGCAAACGATGTCGGCATGCTTCAAGAGGCTGATATTGGAGTTGGCATCAGCGGTGTTGAAGGGATGCAGGTCATACATGCATGCGCACATACATTACACACAGACACAGACACAGACACATCCACATCCACACACACACTGAACACCAACGCACAAACACACATGTTACTGATGGAGAAGGGATGCATGTCAGTTGAACACTTAAATAGTAATATCTTAAACACTTTTTACATTTTTATATTTATATCAAATTGCATTCACTTTTACCTGTATCAATGTGTACTTGAAACTATCGCAAAGTATCAAATTACACATTCTATTAAAGAAGTTAACATCAATTTTCCTTTTTCTACACAGAAATAGAAACTAGTACGAATTTTTAATAAAAAAATTAACAACATCCTCCATCTCTCTCTCTCCCTCTTGCCTTTTTTTTCTTTCTTTCTTTCTTACTTTCTCTTTGTTTATTCAAATATAACTGACTACAACTACCACGTGTCTGCAACAAAAGTGTGCTTAGATTTCCACACTGCCTTCATTTATCCTTGGTAGCTTTAGGGCCAAAAGTAGCTATCTTGCTTGCAGCTTATTCTGTTATAGGAAAATAGCAATCAACTGTAGTCGGGTAGAGGTAAATGAGCTTATGACAATTCGTATTCTCTCTACTCTCCTTTATTATATATATGTTTAGTGTTCATTTATGTAAAGGTACATGGGTAGTTGAGTTAATTATTGAATTAGCATGTTCAGCGAGATAGCAAAAATTTGTTTTGCAGGTTCAATGCGGGGTATTCCTTGGAGAGAGAGGGGGGGGGGGGGGGGTAACTCACGAAGTTTATACATGTGGCAGTCTCTTGTTTATTTGATAGCCAAACCAGCCAGCAAATTCTATTAGAGAAAAGATAGAAGGAAAAAAGAAAGAAAAATTGGGAGAAAGGCTGGAGTCCTAGGGTTTGGGAGAGTGTTTGCAGCAGAGAGGGAAAGGAATGACAAAAGAAAAAAAGGGGGGGGGGGGGGGGGGGAGGGAGACTATATTTTTAATTTAAAAATAAATTTTCTTTACTTCTCAGAAAAGAAGGTAGGCTGTTGTTTAGAGTTACAAAAATTACTAACAGAAAATGCAACTTGATATCTTTTGATAGTTTGAGGTGCATAGTGATAGATTGTAAATCTAGGAGATAGTTTGATATAAATTTAAAGGTGGCACAGCTTATCTTTTGTCAGGAATGGTGCCATGAAGAGTATAGGCTTTACTGCTAATGCTATTTGAACCATAAACAGAATCCCTGAACATGGCTTGTCCTAAAGAAATGGCTTTCAACAATGATTCCTCTTCCACAATCTTAATTATTTATGTTAAGAATGGTTGAACACATATTTTATTGAATATCATAATCCTATATATACAGATCTTTCCTAAAATTAAAAAAATTATATGAGTGTATTTATCGTAATGCTCTTTAACCTAATTTATGTATAATATGTTCTCTTTAATAATCCTCTTCAGATTGGGGAACAAACATTGTCCATCCCAGCTTGATAATGATAGTTTAGAATGCTGGACTGGTTGGGTCTTCGGTCGGCACATCTACTAGCTGTGAATTGGTAGGCATCTATGGAGTACATATTAGGCCGCCATAGAGGTTCTCTTTAATAACATGTATATTCACTTCAATATATTTGGTTCAGTTATTTTGTATGGATTATGTGTAATGCTTATAATCGATTATTGTTACAGCATAGGCGTATAAGGCTCTCCCACATGATTCTCAGATCTTTTAAAATCCTTTTTAGTCATAGTAATTCACGTACTCTTTGTACCATTATCTGAAATTCTAGTTCTGCACTTGATCTTGTAACTACATTTTACTTCTTGCTTCTTCAGATAGGTTACTCCGAGGACGATACAATAACATGTGATATACCTTTTTCCCACCACTAATCTGCATGATATACATCAGTAGAGATTTTTATGAGCAATCTGTCACTTTTTCTTAACAAGATCTATTTCCCAGATGATTTTTTTAGGTAATGTAACACACTGTAGGCTGCCTGTAAGTGCATTTCTTTACGACTGTGCATGAAGTGGTTTATAACACTTACTGCATGTATAGCATCAACCTTCTTCAGATCCACAGAGCTTACCAGACTATGGCTTATTATGTACCTGTTGTTAGAACATGAAATTATCATAGATTGCGGTAATATCATGCATGATAATCATGTTATCCTTGCACCTTCTTGTCATCAAACTCCAAAAGTATACTAGAGAAATAGAGCGAGAAGAGAGGAAAAGAAGAGAAGCACAAGGGAGGCACTGAGACTTAGGAGCTTAAGGGTTCCTAACCGAGATCCTTAGGGAAGAGAGGAGGTGAATAAAAGAAAAAATTAGAGC